CAGTCTGCTATGAGATCCTCTTGGCTCAGCTTTGAGCATGGCATCCAGATGCTAGCTGCTTCTTCCTTCCACCACCGTTATCACTGTGAACCAAGTCAGAACCATCTTCCTCTTGGGTTAGTTGCAGTGCAAATCCTCTCACGAGCCCTTCCTTTTCTACCCTTGTCTTTACCCCACAGCTCTGCCCCAACTAGTCTCAGTATTGAAGCTAAAGGAATCCTGTCCAAAATGGACATTAGGTCTCACAACTCTTCTGCTTAAACTCTTGAAGGCTTCCCATGGGAAGTAAAAGCCAAGGCTCTGGCAATGCCTCCAAGACTCCACTGGCTCTTGGGCCTTACCTCCATCTGTCATGTTCCAGGTACATTGATGTCTCAACTTGTGGCAGACGTTACAGACATCACCCCACCCTGGAACCTTTGCTTTCATTGCCCTCTCTGCCTGGAATGTTCTTCTGTCAAATATCTATCTTCCCAACTCCTCACCGTCTTTGAGTCTTCTCTCCAATCTCACCTTTCCAAGCCAGGGGTGATGGCTCACACCTGGAATCCCAGCATTCAGGAGGTGAAGGTGGGAGAATCATGAGGTAGAGGCGGTGTCTTAAGGCCAACTGCACCCTATAGTAAGACACAGTCACAGAGGATTATATTCACAGGTTCCAGGGATTGGGGTGGAAACCTGGGAGCCATTTCTAGAACTTCGATCACTACAGCCCCTGATCATTATCTTGGGTTAAAGCTGTGATAACTTGGTCTTCCAGGTAGGACAGACATTCCTGAGCACCTGTTCCACCCACACACTGTGAGTTCCATGAGTAACCTCTTTGACCCCCCCCCCCCCCCCCATAATGTATTCTCACTGATGCTCACTGAATGTTGCTAGAGTCCATAGCCTAGGGGATGTAACTCAAAGAGGAGGCCCATCCACACACCAGGTTGCTCTGGGGCACTAATTGCGAGGAGAGGTTAGGTGGATAAGAACACATGGGAATGTGATGTAAGAAAAGGCTTTCCTGGAGTGTTGACCCACTAGACAGAGATGATGGGAACCCAGAAAGGAAGTAACCAAGATGCATTCCAGCTTGAAACCACAGAAGCTGCAGGAGATGCACCCCAAGAGCACCCCGAGTTTTGGAAGGCACGTTTCACAAAGTAAAGGAGGATAAACACATTCACAAGAGCACATATGTTATTCAATGATTGTTTTTTATTTAATTGTAAGCAGAGTCCATGAAATGGAAAAATGGGGCAGTGGGGTGAGGGATTGTGTCAGGATGACAGCCAGTAGGTATAGTGTTCTCCAATGGCCACATCATTCACTAAATACCTACTGAGGGACCAAGCCTACAAGATGGCCTCGAGTGCCCCCTGCCTCCTAGTGTAAGGTAATTTCTCCCCTCTTTACACTCAGTAGCAGTGGGGTGTCACTTCTAAGGTTGGTCATAAAGAGATGCAGCTTTGTTTCACTTTCTGGAGTGCTGCCTTAGTTCACTTATTCTAAGAGAAGCCATTGGCCATATTGTGAGCTATCCACGATAAGGGGCTAAGGCCTCTGGCCAAGAGCCGCTGGAATGAGCTGGATGTGGTTTCCTCCCCAAGACTTTCAGATGATCCCGGCCCCAGCCAATACTTTCACCCATGGTCTGAGAGAGGCCCTGTGTCCTGTCAGTTACACTACTGCTCCTGGACTTTAACCAGTAGAAACCATGGGACTGTAATCTTCGTTATTTTAAACTGCTAAAATGAAGGGGTAGTTTATTATGCAGCAACAGATATCTAATATACGAAAGATCATATTGGGGCTGCAGAAATGGCTCAGCAGTTAAGAGCACTGCCTGCTCTTACAGAGGACCCGATTCCATTCCCAACACCCACACGGTAGCTAACACTGTCTGTAACTCCAGTTCCAGGGGAATTCGATGCCCTCTTCTGACATCTGTGGACATTGCTTGACACTAGTGCACTTACATACATGCAGGCAATACACTCATAAACATTAAATGAAATAATAAAATATTTTTTTAAAAGAAAGAGCATGTTAGAGATTATGGTACTTTACAATCATCATAATGAAACATTAAAGATCATAACCAAACAGTCAGAGGCAGGACATATCTTCAGATGCTTCAAAGGGAGGGCTCCAGAGAAGACAGGAAGGGAGAAAACCCATGTGCAGTGATCTTGGGCTAATGCACAAGGCAACAAAAAAGGACTTTTCCAAGTTCATCCCAAATCCGTTGTCCCCATAGGAGTCTGTGAGCCTCACATCGCTTCTTTAAGTTCTCAGACATTGCCAAGGATGGACCTGGGTCTAGCTGGAGCAGGCTGAAGAAGAGATTGTCCTGGAGCTCAGAGCTTCCCTAAGCTCGGGCTTCTCCTTAAGCCCTGACAGATCCGATTCCGAGTGCCAAGAGCATATGAGGTGAGGTGGAAGCGGCTCGTGGAGTGGGACTGGTCGTTTTGTAAGATAGAGCAAGTATTGTTTTCATTGTCTGAACTTCTAGGGAGAAGAAAATGGATCCTGTAGTGGTTAATGTGGATTATAAGGTTGATGGGATTTAGGATAACACATCCCTCTGGATGTGTTCATGAGAGTGTTTCCAGAAAGGTTTAACTGAGGAGGGAAGAGGCACCTCGAATGTGGGTGGCATTATCCTACGGCCTGGGGCCCAGGGCTCAATAAAAAGGAGAAAGTGAACTAAGCACCAGCGTTCATCTCCCTCTGCTTCCTGATTGCAGATGCAGTGTGACCATCTGCCTCACACTCCTGCCACCATGACTCCTTCTTCATAATGGACTGTACCCTCAAGTCATGAGCTAAACGAACCCTTCCTTCCTTTGTTTGCTTCATCAAGTATCTTGTCACAGCAATGAAAAAAGTAACTAACACACACCTCAAAGTGCGTAGCCCAGGTCTGGATGTTGGTCTGGAGATACCGCGAACAGATGGCCAGGGCAAATGTGTGAGCTGGGACCAGAACTTGCTACACAACTGAGGTCTATCTAGAGATAGATGCTTATTACAGCCAGTTCCATTTGATAGCCAAGGAACATGACAGTCAGTCACGTTAGCTAACTTGTCAAGGTCACACAGGAAATCACAGAGGCAGGACCTGGATCAGAAGGTCTGGACCTAATGCCTTTGCCTTCACCATGTGGCCCTGTGCCATAGACATGGCAGTGTCCATAATCCTCCCACCTCAGAAGAAAAAACTTGGCTCAGTTTACAGGAGTATGAAGCAGGATCAGAAGTAGGCTATGTGCACATGCAGCCATGAATTGGCAGCAGTGTCTCTGCAGTGTGAATCTTGCATGTGCATGGTATTTGTGTGCCCTGTGCTTTGGAAAAGCTAAAGGGAAAGGGGCGGGGCACTGTACACTGTGCCCAGGGTGTTGAGAAGCAGGAAGTTGGTCAGTGGGTCAGACAGCCGGTCACCCTAGCAGAAGGGTGACAGGTGGGCAGAGCTGTCAGAGGTGACCAGCCGGCTCCCACCTGCTGGAGCTGTCCATCAGCACCACTAGCGTCTGCGAAGGCAGGACCACCGGCAGGCCAGTCCCTGAAGAACATCCTTCCAGGGGGCATCCCACAGTGGGAGAGACCCCTCAGAGTCGATCCCAAGTCCTGGCCCACACCTAAACTCCACCTCATCCCTCCTTAGTCCTCCCCAAACCAAAAGTAAAAGCTGCCTTGACCTGCTCAGCTGAGAGTTAAGTGACAAGATGGGTGACACCCCCCCATCTTTGCTATGCAGATGAGAGGGCCTAACTAGACAAGCTTGCATTTGTGATACAGCAAAAGGGCCCTCAAGAGGCCGGAGATGTAGTTCATCTAGTAGAGTGCTTACCTATATTAGATCCCTAGCACGATATAAGGCCGAGTGTGGTGGTGCGCTCCCATAACTTCAGCACTGGGAGGTAGAGGTTGGAGGATCAGAAGTTCAAGATCATCCTCAGCTTAAGAGTCCAGCCTAGGATACATGAGAGTCCGTCTCAAGGGGGAGAGGGGAGGTGCGTCTAAATCACATCTCTCTATTTTTCAGAAAAGCAAACCCGAAGTTCAAAAAGGACTTAGGAATTCCATTTCCCCCACTTAAAAAACAAAACAAACAAACAAACAAAAAACGATCCTGGAATGCAGCCCAGGGGTCTTGCAAAAATTGTTGAGGCTTGAACCAAAGGAGAGGTGAGTCCTGCCTGGGTATAGTGCAATCAGGAAGAGGGTATAGCATGGGGGTGGGTGGGGGGCAGGTAGAGGGTATAGCATGGGGG